GTGTGCGAGAGAAAAAGGAGATGCTCTCCCCAAGTCCATGGTCCCCTTCTTGTATACCTAAATTCAGGGGTCATTTCATAAAAATAGAGGTGCAGGAGCTCATTAGCACAACTCATTAGCATAACTTATTTGCATATGCCACACCCCCTGACCTCACCGGAAGTGTGTCAGAAGGCAACACCCACCGCTCAGGCTCCACTGGTCTGTTTTAGAACGTGCAGATCTGTCCACACAGAGGAGGGAGAGCTTGTACCTGAAAGTGAGCGGGGGGGATCTGCAACTTACCTGGCTGCTTCTTGCTTCTCGTGGCCCAACTGAGGGCTGCTGGGAACAGGGGGTGGGGCTTGTTGCATGTGCCCGTCCCCTGGGCTCCTTACTGCCGGAGCTCTGCTCCTGTGCGCTCCCGCAGGAAATGACCCCTGCCTAAATTACAGCAGGGTGATCTAGGAACAATCTTGGGTTTCCCCCCCTTAAGCCGCTAGCAATGCAGTTCTAAGCAAACTTATACCTAAGTGGACTTAGGAGGGCATAACTCTGCTTAGGACTGCACCCTGTCTTGAAGACTTTGGCCGTGGTCACACTGGTGGCTTGGCGCGATATGGTGCCTGTTATGTATTGGGATTGAATCATCCCTGATTGAATCACCCCCGAGACTTGCTGAGCTTAAAGCACAAGAACAATAGCCAACCAGGACTCTGGAATAAACCAATCAATTAGTAATGTTATATAAATAGCCTATCACTGGGAGTGGGTTGTGTTTGGGTGTGGCAATTGCATGTTATTTAACAGAGTTGAGGCTCTGGAGTCTTGTCTTGTAGTTTGCTGAAATCACTGAATAAACTAGAGCTGATCACTGCAATGCATCTATAACCCAGAATTTAACAGTGTCACCTTTAACTGAACTGGTTTAAAGTGTTGCGGGGCATATCAGCCACACAGCACACCATGCTGCAGGTTACCCACGGAGACATGCTATGGTAAAGCATCCATATTAATGCAGCACCTCAGCCGTAGAGTGCACTGCAAATTTTTTCCCCAGAATTCATGTGCACAGGCAATTTTTTTTTAAAAAGCCGCCTCCCTAGCAGCAGAACAGATTGGCAGGTTCAGCATTCAGCACGCACTCCCCCATGTTCAGACATCCGGCCATGCGCAATGACTGTACGGGGAACCGAAAACACCAGTTGTGATGTGGTGCCTTTTTAACCCGGCTCCAAGTCATCCTGTGATGGTATGCGTATGGCTGGGGAACACCTGGCAGATGTGGCTGTCTGACTGTGCCCGTTTGATCCGGAGGGGAGGGGTGGCTGTGTCGGGCCAAACTACCTGTGTGACCATGGCCTAAGTCTCTCATACCCTTCTCTCTGCTGTCTCAATTAGGTCTGTGAAGGCCCTCATACAAAAGATCCCTCCCTTCACACTAACCAGATATAACCCAAACATACGGTAACAAATTATATTATCTGCCCTGCCCTGCCAGAGAGCCAGTTTGGTGTAGTGGTTAAGTGCGCGGACTCTGATCTGGGAGACCTGGGTTTGATTCCCCACTCCTCCACTTGCACCTGGCTGGATGACCTTGGGCAAGCCGTAGTTCTGGCACAGCTGTTCTTGAAAAAGAGCAGTTTCTGTCAAGAGCTCTCTCAGCCCCACCTACCTCACAGGGTGTCTGTTGTGGGGAGGGGAAGGGAAAGGAGTTTGTCAGCCCCTCTGAGACACCTTTGGGTAGTGAAGGTCGGGGTATAAATCCAATCTCCTCCTCTTCTTCCTCTCCTTCTCCTTCTCCTTCTTCTTCTCCTTCTTCTTCTCCTCTCTTGATTCTGGCAGCCCTGCTCCCAACCTCTGGTGATTTAAAGCAGTGTTTCCTTTCCAGCAAGACTTTTCTTTATTCCAAATATTTGGAAGAGTGACAACTTTGCAAAAAGTTTAGGGAAGCCAAGCTGCATATCTTGGCAGAAGCATTTGGATAGGTACGAAGCCCAGGGCTTGTCACTTTCATTTTTTAAAATGCTGATTAAAGTCTCAGTTTTAGCCCTGGGGAAACCTGAGTTTTAGTCTCTGTATGTTACTATTCCATGCAGATTCTGGTTCTGTTATGATACTGCTCCAGTTTTATTGCACTGTGCGTGCTTTACAGTGGTACTGTTGTTGTGTCTCTAGCTGTGAACGTGATGACAACTTGTCCTGTCTTTCCATTGAATCAGGGGAAGGAAAGCAATGAAGCGTCCACTGTGCCAAGCCCAGGGCTGTAGGAGTCCACCTGAGCAGAACAGCTGACCTAATACTGTGTCCGCAGTGACTTTGGCATTATGGCAGCACCCACTGACTACTGCTTTAACATGAGAGGCAGGCCATTTGTGCCCAAGGGCAACACCAGCGTAAGGAATGGTGGGCACGTGCAAGAACTGTTTCATGAAGAAGCACATCAGGTATGTTGAAAAGTTTCCACTTCCTTACCATTGAATCCTGTCTTTTTGAGTTGTATGCTTCTGTGCTGCCACTAATGTCCAGCCTGGACTGACTCAAGGTATTTTGTCACTCCAAACAGTTTCCTGGGATATAATTGGCTTTAGTTTTAGTTTGGTTAAATACTTGTTAACTGCAAGTGTTCTTAAGTCCATGGCAGAAATGAATGCATTTTAAGGGGTGATATAATTTCCCTCCTTCCATATGTGGAAAAGGAGTTTTGTGGTTCCTCAGAGACTAGCATAAATAATTCCTGGATTAGAATTTAATAGTAGATTCAGTTCTGTTGACAAAGGCTTAAACTAATGCAGCATAATGGTTGTGAAGGGTCAACATGCTTATCTAGTATGCAGGGCTGGATTTAGACTTGCTGAGGCCCTAAGCTATACAAAACCCAGAGCCCCCCTACTGTTTTAAATTACATCAGCTGGTCTCAGAAAAATTTAAAATATATACGCCTTTTTAATATTTGAAATCATTTTTATATTGTGTTTTTATTTGAGGCCTCAGCAGATTGCGAGGCCCTAAGCTGTAGCTTATTTAGTTTATGCGTAAATCCGGCACTGCTAGTATGCCTGAATTTTGCAGAGTAATGTGCGAAAGTGTACTCCTTAGATGCCTTGCCTTTTTCATGGCCACATTTTTTTCTTCTGTTTTCATTTGTGTTGTTGTGTCTGCTTACTGAGGATTTACTTCATGTATCTGATGAAACAGGCCGAAGCCATGAAAGCATATGCGCCACTAAATCCGTTAGACTTCAAAGGAGCATGCACAGAGTGCCTTTACCTCACTGCTCAGTAACTGGAGTCTCTTGCCTTCCCACCCACATGATTAATAGCTGGCCATCATGTTGCCTCCAGATACAGACATCCAGGATTTTCAAGTATAAGGATGGGTGAGCTGGAGTTTGAAATAGCCAAGAGTGTCAGCATGGCAAAATCTGGTCTGGAAACTGGAGCCATGAACAGACAGCACAGACCTTTCTGCAAACCTGAAAACACTGGAAAAAGTCTGAAATCTTAAAAACAACAACAACATTGGCGGATAACACCCCAATATAATAGAAGTGCCTATAGCTTTAAGAAACTAATGCCCTCAGTGGCTGTTGCTAGGCAACTAAACAGTACTGATATCTTTCAAGCCTTGATTTTTCTTAGTAAAAGGCAGAGGGAGGGGGCAGGACCCTTTCCAGGCTGTTTAAACCTTTGAGGGAGAACTCATTGAGGCCAGGCCTACCAGCAATCACCAGGCGACTTGCTACCATGCAAGTTGACCAGACCTGGCTGCTGGCTACCCTTCAACAGCAGCCACCTCACAAAAGCAAGTGTGGTGCAGTGGTTAGAATTTCAGTCTAAGAACTGGGAGACCTAGGTTTGAATCACCACTTTGCTGTAGAAGGTCAGTGGGTGAACTTGGGCCAGTTATATATTCTCAGCCTAATTTATCTCACAGAGTTGTTGAGGATAAAATGGGGGAGAGGAGAATGATGCAAGCTGCTTTGGTTCCTCATTGTGGAGAAAGGTGGGGTATAAATGAAATAATATATATAGCTGAAGGGGGGGGCAGATGAAAAGTAGGTTGGTTGTGAGTGGGAAGTGAAGAAGGAAGCAGGAAATACTGACATGTCAGGAGGAGGGAAACAGGAAATAGTGTGGGGAAGGGGATATGGGGGGGAAATGAGGTGACCCCCCACAAGTATTTGCAGGATCCCCACTGCACAGGGGAGAGGCAGGGAGGAAGCAACTTACCCTCCCTCTTCTCCTGCCTCCTCCTGGCTGAATGAGAGCCGGAAGCAGGGCGGCCGGAAGCAGGGGGCGGGGCTTCGTCATGTGCCCCGCCCCCGTACCTCACCTGGAGGAACTGCGATCCCCCCCGAAATGACCTCTGGTTTTTCCAGAAAGAGGCTACCAGTGGCAGAGAAGGAAGGAAATCTGAAGACAGAGGGGCAGATAGAAGTAGGTTGCCTGGTAGATGAGATTGTATATTATCCTGTTGTAAGCTGCCCTGAGCCCTACTTGTAGGGAAGGGCGGCCTAGTAAATCCAATTTAATAAATAAATAAATAAGGAGAGAGGGAAGCAGGAAAACAGGAGAGGCTACGTGGGCTTGCAGGGAACAGAAAGAGGAAATAGTGAGGAAGAGGGAAATGAGATACATCTAATTTTAATTGAACCATGACGATTGTAGAAGTAAAGTTCAGAAGGAAGAAAGTCAGCAATGTCATATAAAAGTATGTGTTTTAGGGCAAGTTCTTTAAATGCCCCCATAACTTATGTGGCTACCAGTTATATGTAGAGAGTAAGGTTAGTTTAGCCAGTATAATCCTGAAGGCTTCAAATTAGAGTGGCACACACACACACATACACACACTACTTAGGAACTATAGTTATTCATGAGGCTCTTTAATTCAGCTTTAACGAAAACCGTAGAGGAGTCCCTCCGCAACTGTCCAGGTAGGTAGCTCCTATGGGAGGCAGGAGAGCGATCGGCTCTGTTTATCGAGAGCAGGGCCCCCTGGCCATAGTGTCCCAAGCAGTTTCTTGTATAGTGAACTGACTCTGTGCCCAGCAAAATAAAAGACCAAAAGTAACTTGAAGTGTTTACTTCCTTTTAGGTATCTCAAATGCAGAACAGACCCTGGTGGAAGATACAGCTTTTTGTCTGGGAACCAGTGCTGTTTGGAACATGGGACGGAGTATTTACTTCTTGCATGATTAACATTTTTGGAGTAGTTCTCTTTCTGAGAACTGGCTGGCTCGTGGTAAGTATGAGACATCCTTGCAAATTAAGCAGCAGGCTATATAGCTTACATCATTATTGATTTTTGTGATTGATTTTTTAAAATTGAAAGTTATTTCAGGGGCTGATAAGAATTGCCACAGTTCTTTTTAGCTTGCTGCATTCACTCAGGAAATTAGTTGCAGGTCTTCCCGTTTTCAGTCTATAAGAAACATGTATAGTCCTTTCAATTTCAGTTGTGTACAAACAAAAAGGAGCTGTGGTGGCTCAAGTGGTTAGGACGCTGAACTGCAGGCTGTGGAAGGTCAGTAGTTCAGCAGTTCGAGACACGAGTGTGCCGCATGACGGAGTGAGCTCCCGTCTCTAGTTCCAGCTCCTGCCAACCTAGCAGTTCGAAAGCAAGAAATTGCAAGTAGATAAATAGGTACCACTTCAGTGGGAAGGTAACAGCGTTCTGAGCGCCTTGGTGTTTAGTCATGCTGGCCACATGACCACGGAAACGTCTTCGGACAGCGCTGGCTCTTCGGCTTTGAAACGGAGATGAGCACCGCAACCCTAGAGTCGGACTCGACTGGCTTTCGAGCAAGGGACAGCGCTGGCTCTTTAGCTTGAAAATGGAGATGAGCACCGCAACCCTAGAGTTGGATTCGACCGGCTTTCGAGCAAGGGAACCTTTACCTTTACCTTTTAAAAACAAAAAAGTATTATGGAAATTTATCATGATGATGTCACTGATTGTAAAAAAGCCTCTTGTGAATCAACAGGAAATATCACTGGATGAACAGAGCAATTAACACTGTAATGGGAATAGGTAGTTTCAATCCCAGCTAAACTCTCTCTGGTCAGATTTGCTTGAACTATTTTTGTTGTATGCAGTTTGCCATGGTACATTTCCTCTCTGTTTTGTCCACACTGCAGTTCAGGTTGTGGTATTTGACCTTTATGGTGATAGAAAGTATAGTCTTGTATTTGAACAGGGAAGTTTTCACCAGCTGACTCTCTGAAGCCATTGATCAAATCGCTCCCCAACACCCTCTTCACTCCCGTCCTAAATTAACCCCAGGGTATACCATGGAGCTACATGGGATCAAGTGGGACCTAAGACGGCTAGAGTGAGTGTGGTGTACTTGTAACAGAGCTACAAGAGCATCATATAGGATGTTTTTGAAGTCCTATGAGATGACAGTGAAAGCTGCAAAAGAAGGAATTCTGTGCATCTTCCATTACATCTGCAAGCTTTCACCCAGCTAAGTTGTTTAGGGTAATTAGATCACTAATTACCTTTCACAGGGAAACCAAAATAAAGTGAATTGGCTGTTAGCTGTGATGTCTTTGTGAGCTATTTTGTGGATGAAACCTTGTCACTCTGTCAAGATTTGACAGCCACGATTGATACAGTATGTGAGCTGGAGGATGGCCCTTGGTTTGGGGCTTTTTCAAATACAATGCAATATTTTTCAAATGCATTTGAATGTATTTGGAAAAGTGTGCATTCACATGAAAGCTCTTATACCTTGAATTAACCTTTGTTGGTTTTAAAGGTTCCACTGGACTCTAAATTTGGTCTATCATTAACCGTAATTTTACTCTGGACCATAGTATTATTCTGGACCATTTGGTTAAGATAGGAATTGGGAGTGCCATACTCTGGTAATTCAAACTCTACCTGTAGGAGCATTTTCAGTCTTTACCTGGATAGCCCAGATGGTTTGGGGCTTTTTCAAATACAATGCAATATTTTTCAAATGCATTTGAATGTATTTGGAAAAGTGTGCATTCACATGAAAGCTCTTATACCTTGAATTAACCTTTGTTGGTTTTAAAGGTTCCACTGGACTCTAAATTTGGTCTATCATTAACCATAATTTTACTCTGGACCATAGTATTATTCTGGACCATTTGGTTAAATAGGAATTGGCAATGCCATACTCTGGTATTTCTAACTCTACCTGTAGGAGCATTTTCAATCTTTACCTGGATAGCCCAGCCCAGCCCAATTTTATCAGGTCTTGGAAGCTAAGCAGGGTTGAACAGCAATACAACACAATAAATAAATTACTTTGGCCCCGTTCACACGGCGAATTTGCCGCGGGAGAGCCACGGATGCCAGGCGGATTATCCGTGCGTGATCACACTGCCACATTTGGCAAGTGTAGCACACCCGTGGCTTCCCGCTGAAAACCTGCAGTTAAAAAGTACCTGCAAACAAGTACTAGCAACCGGTATGTCACAGGCTGCTGACGGACTCGGTTGGTGTGATCGCGCTGGTGCGCAGCTATTCCCTCCGGTCGTCGTCTTTGCCGCGGGCGCCGACTGATGAAACCCTGCTGCACCGCCGTCACGTCTGATCGCTTAATCACGGATCAAACTGCAAATAGCCACGCCTCCCCCCCACATTATCCGGCCTGTGTGGCCGGGGCCTTCATCAGGTATCTTTACACATGCCTTCTTAAAACACGTCAGTATTAAAAATAACTCCTTGCTGTCAATATCTTGGTCAAAAATTCAGCAATCTGAGCAGTAATTTGAGATGACTCATCAGCTAAAAGGTACCTAATTACGTTGTTGGAATTAATCCTCGGCAGTATGGGCTTAATCCAAAGCAATCGAATATGTGAGTGGAGGGGGCAGCGTAATAAGATGTGGTCTAAGGTATCAGGTTCTCCAGATGAACAATTACAAATTCTATCACATTTCGGAATACCTCTATATCTACCTGAAACCCAAGATGAGGGGAAAACATTAAATCTGGCTAGCATAAAAGCTCTGCGTTGCAGCGGGGTCACCAAGTTAGAAAAGTATTGTGCCATACTATTTGGTACATATCTGAGGGAAAGGGGGGAGCAAGTACCCCTGGCACCTGAAGCCCTGGATTATTTGGGCTTCAATGTCCCATTGGCTCAAGGCTTCTGTTCAAGAACTCCTCCCTTTCCTTGATTTCGTGGAGAGTAGAAATCCTTTCCTCCAGGCTCCAAACCTTCTCCTCTAAGAGTCCTATCAGCTTCTGACACGTGTAGTCTGTTTTGTCCTCAGGGAGGAAGGCAAACATGGCGCACTCCCCACAGGTGACTGGAAATGGTCCGTGCGCATTCATCATCACTTCCCAAGTGGATTCTTTCCCCTAGAAATACCTTGATGTGTTGATGTACCCTGAAACTTAGAGAACTGACCAAATGACTACCTGAGCTAAAAGGGGTAAAGCAGAACAACGTAAAATTTTCTTAACTACTTATGGGATCCCCAGACCCGACCCCCAGGCTCACGCCTCTGGTGAGGAGGAGCCTTGCAGTTGAAAGGGTCACAGCCCCCACCTCTCAACAGCCAGAGCAACAGCAGAGGGCAGGGCTAGCAACCAACCCCGGGCAAACAGGCCCTTCTGTCTCAGCAACAAACCAGACAAAAAACACACAGAAGCAATCAGAATCCCCTCTCCAGCAGGCTTCAAGCACTCATTCCCCTTCATACACTGTTCTTTCACACGGCAGCCTCAGTTAATGCTCCCCACTACCAAAAGCCCACCTCCCCCAAATTCAGAGGGGTACAAGAGGATTTTGGTCCATCATCGAAGCAGGGTTCCATCTAAGGGATCATGTTGCTTCTCCTTAGCCTGACGCCCTCTGCGACAGCGGAAGAGCCGTTAGCAAAGGACTGTTTTAATAGGTCCCTGAAGATCTCCTCTACATACCTCTCTCTCCCCTTTGGCTTCTCCAGCAATTCTGGCCTCAGTGTAACAAAAATGTTCCCTGAAAGGGCACTGAGCACATACCTGCAAATTCTCATGTATGTGGCACTCCCTGCAAAAACTCTGGATAGCTCCCTTTTTCTGTCTCTCATGTAACCAGGGGTCATTTCGTAGAAAAAGAGGTGCAGGAGCTCATTAGCATAACTTATTAGCATAACTTATATGCCACACCCCCTGACATCACCGGAAGTGTGTCAGAAGGCAATACCCACCACTCAGACTCCACTGGACTGTTTTGGATTGCTAGCTATTGGGGGGGGGGAACGTGCAGATCTGCCCTCACAGAGGAGGGAGAGCTTGTACCTGAATAAAACTTGGTCTTAAAGGTGCCACTGGACTGTTTTGGATTGCTAGCTATGGGGGGGGGGAGGAAATGTGCAGATCTGCCCTCACAGAGGAGGGAGAGCTTGTACCTGAAGGTAGGCAGGCGCGGGGGGGGGGGCTCTGCAACTTACCTGGCTGCTTCTTGTTCCTCGTGGCCCAACTGAGGGCTGCTGGGAGCAGGGGACGGGGTTTGTTGCATGTGCCCGCCCCCTGAGCTCCTTACTGCCGGAGCTCCGCTCCTGTGCGCTCCCACAAGAAATGACCCCTGCTTGTAACTAACTGATATGTACTGGCTCCCCAGGTGCATTCCATCATTGGCCCTTCGTTATGAATTTGGTCTTAGCTCTATAGAAGCCTGTGCCTGGGTATGTGCTTTTAGTTTTTGGTTTCATCTAGTTTTTGAGGCCCTGGAGGGTAGCTTGGTAAGCCTAACCTTTACTCAGGGGCTCTTATAAGGCTCCCTGGCTCCACCTTTTTGAACAGAAGTTTATCTCTTTCTCTGTAAATCAGTGCAAAGAATGTGGCCAAACTGATTTATGCCAGAGATAAGAGCTGTACTCACTTTGATGCGCTGAGGACCTGTTCTCCTCTTCCCTTGGGCCTTTCATTTAAGGGCAAACTCCATTCTTATTTAGATACCTTGGTTAGCCCAAAGCTATGTAGGACCTTCATGCATTCACAATTCAACTATCCTTTTTCAATGGTATTGCTGGGTCATCTGCTAAGGATCCGTTTTTCAGATCGGTTCCGTCCCTGTCCCCTCCGGTCAGTGGACTCCCTTGTTCGTATTCTCCTGCAGTGTCCCAATGTGCTCCAGTCTAGGTTTAAAAGGGATTATGTCATGCCTTCATAAATACACCATACTTCCTCTAGTGACATCAGAGCAAAAGATTCTATTCCTCTTAAAGGGTTCTGATTCTCAGTGTACTTATTTTGTCGCTTGATTTCTAGAGGCTGCAGAGAAGTGTCAAAAGGGAGGTGTTTTTAGATATGAGTTTTATTTCAGTTTTTCAGATTTGGTTTTAGACCTTGGTCTAAGAACGGGGGGGGGGGGGGGGGGGAGAGAGAGAACTGACATGTATCCAGAATATTGTTCTCTTTGTGAAGTGCTGTTTTGGTTTGGTGTCCTGCTGGTTTAGAAGACAGTTGTTTCAGATCAAGGAGGACTGGGGCCAGGACTCAGCATGCATGTGTCTGCTAGCACACAACCCTTCACTCTCCTGTTCCCTTCCAAAATAGTTGTTTTTAAAAAGAAAGCACAGTTCTAATTTTGCATCCATTGCAATGCAGTGCTAAGCAGAGTTCTATTCTTCTGGGTCCACTGAAGTCAATGGCGTTGATTTAAGGTTGCACTGTTAGTTTTTCAGTTTAAATTAAGCTGATAATTTCATTCAAAAACAAAGGCATTATCAAATTTAGAGTCCAATGGCACCTTTAAGGCCAACAAAGGTTTTAAAGGTCTTCAGGGTCTTAAAGGTGCCACTGGACTCTAAATTTGTTCTAGAAGAAGAGAAGAAGAAGAGATTGGATTTATACCCCGCCCTTCACTTGGAGTCTCAGAGCGGTTTACAAACTCCTTTCCCTTCCCCTCCCCACAACAGGCACCCTGTGAGGTGAGTGGGGCTGAGAGAGCTCTTGACAGAAACTGCTCTTTTTCAAGGACAGCTGTGCCAGAGCTTGCAACTGGCCCAAGGTCACATCAGCAGGTGCAAGTGGAGGAGTGGGGAATCAAACCCGGTTCTCCCAGATTAGAGTCTGCACACTTAACCACTACACCAAACTGGCTCTCCTGGCTTCTACTGCTTCAAACCAACACGGCTGACCAACTGGATCTAAAGGCACGATCAGGTTTGCATAAACTAAATGTCTTGTATTTTTCAAACTACGGGTGCTACTTGGAAACAGTGCCAGATCCAGTGTAGCCACATGAAAGTTTCACACAAAGTAACAATTAGTCAGCAAAAGATAGCCTAAAAACCAGCACTGCTCCTTGACAATCAGCAGAGGAAGGAACACACCACGCCTGTAGGATAAGAGCAACACACAGAGTGCTTTGAAGATGGGTTGAAAGAAGCAAAACGCTGGTGTTTGTTCACAACAGGGATCTCTAAAGCTTGGAGGAAGGGCTTAAGAGGTCATTTTTTATTTAGCATCTGCATGCTGATAACACTTGAAGCCTCCCAATGAGAAGCTTATACATGCCAAAAGCTGTGGAAAACGTGGTTTTTATTTTGTGCTCTCCAAATGCTTTCTTCTGTGTTATAAACAACTGTCATGGGAGTAAAAAAGGTAAAGGTTCCCTTGTTCGAAAGCCAGTCGAATCCGACTCTAGGGATGCGGTGCTCATCTCCGTTTCAAAGCCGAAGAGCCAGCGCTGTCCAAAGACGTTTCCGTGGTCATGTGGCCAGCATGACTAAACACCAAGGCGCACGGGATGCTGTTACCTTCCCACTGAAGTGGTACCTATTTATCTACTTGCAATTTCTTGCTTTCGAACTGCTAGGTTGGCAGGAGTCATGGGAGTAGCTTGTATAAATATGGAAAGGAATGGCTACTGCTCAGCCATTCCTAGAGTCTTGTGTTACTCTGTGTCTTTCTGAGAAAGTCAGGCATCACTGGCATTCCCGTGATACTTTTTCATACTTTTTGCAGAAGAATTCAAGAATGAAGAAATTTTAATGTGTGAAGCAGCCCTGAGTTTATCTTTTTTTCCCCAAATGCGTTTGTTTCAGTGTTATAATCTTGTGGCGTGGCAGTGCATACTTTTTCCAAAGGACGAAGAGGGTGGAAACCATGTTGATCAGGGTGGTAGAGCATCTGCTTTGCATGCAGGGAGTCTTGGGTTCAATCACTAGTATCCACAGCTAAAAAGATCAGGTAATAAATGGGATGAAAGACCTCTGCCTGAGACACGGAAGAACTGCCGCCAATCGTAGTATACTAACTTTGGCAGACAAATGGTTTAACTCAGTTTTTATTTATTTATTTTATTTTTGGGATTTATATCCCGCCCCATCCAATATACAGCTCGAGGCGGCTAACAAGCAGCCATGCCAAAGTTAAAATATGCATACAAGCAACAGCATAATAAAAACACTATATCTTGACATAAAATTTGGTGCTTTGATAATTTACATAAAATCCAAGATGGGCGACGTCCCACACTGGCGGCCAAGTTCTTCACAGCAGGAGTGCCAGGAAGAATGTTTCCCCAGCTCTATTGGGCGACATCTATCCCCACTATGTGAGGTAGATGGTTGGAATATCATTGGTGGAATAGTGGCGGCAGCGGGACTCCCCCCCAAACCCGCTGGAAGAGCTCCGTCTTGCAGGCCCTGCGGAACTGCACTAGGTCCCGCAGGGCCCGGATCTCCTCCGGGAGCTCATTCCACCAGGTGGGAGCCGCCACCTAGAAAGCCCTAGCCCAGGTTTGGGTCAACTTCACTTCCCGGGGGCCTGGAACCTCCAGCCGATGGAGATTCCCCAATCGCAGTGCTCTTGGGGGAATGTATGGGCCTTCAAGTGTTTCCCATTGCTTCCAATGGGCAATCTCTTAGAAATGGAAAAAGGGATCCATATTGCTCTGCCCCTTCCAAGAAGCAACTTCATGTGTTCTTTGTGTCAAATAGGTAAGCAGAACAAAAGAGCCAGTTCTGCTGGGTCCGAATGGTACGTTCATGGAATATTTTTGAATATGAATGGCAAATTAGGCATGTTTAACCTCTCCCCCAAATTGTGTATTTTATATAGGTATAATCAGGGCTCTTTTTGTAGAAAAAGCCCAGCAGGAACTCATTAGCATAATAGGCCACACCCAACAACAGGAACTCATTAGCATATTGGGCCACACCCCTGACAGCACAGCTCATTGGCATATTAGGCCACGCACCCCATGTTACCAGAAGTGTGGTTATCCAGCCACACCCACCTTTTGCTTCTTATTCTGTTTACCTTGTTTGTTGTCAAAACCCATGGCCTTTTTTTGTAGCAGGAACTCCTTTGCATGTTAGGCCACACACCCTTAATGTAGCCAATCCTAATGAGTTTCTGCTGTTGGGTGTGGCCTATTATGCTAATGAGTTCCTGCTGGGCATGGCCAACTCGGGAGCCAGCCGGAACTCCGTTCCTGTGCATTCCT